AAAAAAAAAAAAAAAAAAAAAAAAAAAGCTCCTTTCCTCAAATATACTAGGAATCTTTATTTGATTATCTGTCCTCTATCTAATTAGATACATATTTTTCCCCTGGTACTGGGAATTGAACACAGGGCCTTGCACATGCTAGACAAATGGTCTATCACTAAGACATAACCCCAGCACTTTTTATTCTGAGACCAGGCTTTACTCAGTTGATTGGAATGGCTTTTAATCTGCAGCCCTTGGGCCTCAGCCTCCCAATTATAGGCATACACCACTATGTCCGGCTCATTAGTTGCATTTCGAGATTGAAGATTTCTAAGCAGATTCTCTGAGGTGGCAGTGAAGAACTCACCAATGACTTGTCAATGATACAGAACATGTAGGCATCATGGAGGAGGATGTGTGTTGGTCGCTTGGGATGAAAACTGATGTGTGTGATGGGAGTATCTCTTTGGAGCCAAAGATGGTGAAACCCCTGCTTCTGGACATTCCGGCTCCACTCTGTATACTGTTTTTCTGGGATGCTATACTCAAATACCTAATAGAGACAAAACAGAGGAAATGAAGGCTAATACTTACAAAGCCCAGAAGGATCTTGCTGCTTCTTGGGTTTTTACATCTGACCTCCAACCAGAAAATATCTAAACAAATCCTGACTGTATCATATTCAGCTTAATGCTTTCTCACCGTTTTTTCAAGTAAAAAAATTTCAAAAGTTATATAACAGTCAGGGAAAAGTTACCCTGCAGTCTTGACATTCTTCTTCCCCAAGATAAGCTCAACCTTCAAATTCTTATTTACATTTTCTTCAGAGGTATTTTAGGCACATAACATATACTGTTCTGCTTTGTTCTGGTTTTTGGTTTTTCTGAGACAGGGTCTCACTATGTAGATCAGGTTGGTTTTGAATTTTAGATCTTCTCTGAGTGCTGTGACTATAGGTATACACCACCATGATGGGGATATATGTTATTCTGAATCATTCTTTTTTCATGTAGCGTTGTATCAGTACAGACACCCATTAAGCATGTCCCCCCCTTTCTTCTGTTTCACAATCTTATGTATTTAATTGATAAAACAATTACATTTCTATAAAACTAAATTATAGTGTAATTCAGGACATTTATACAAAAAGTAATGATCAAATAAGGTAAGTAGCATTTTCATCCCTCAAATTTTATAATTTGTTTTGTTTTTTTGGAAGTGGGGATCAAACTCAGGACCTTGTGCTTGTGAGGTAGGCAGTGAAACCACTGAGCTCAATCATGGGTCCTGTTTTGTTTGAGGCAGGGTCTCGTAGGTAGTTCAAACTGGCCTTGAACTCCCAGATCCTGTCTCAACCTCCTGAGTGCTGGGATTATGGGAGTGTGGCACCATGCCCAGCACATTTTATCATTTCTGTGTTGGGAACATTCAAACTCTTCTATAGTTGTTTTGAAATACATAATTATCAACCATGCTCCTTCTGAAGAACACAAAACAATCTACTCACTTTATGAATATATCATGATTTACTTATCTGTTTAACCATATTAGATGTTTAGAATCTTTGACTACAAACAAGGCTACTGTATGTCTTTTTGCACAACTGAATGACTGTATGTAATTAGAACTCTTAGAACTGGAACTTCTGCCTTAAAGTGTACATGGATTTTGAAAAATATCCCCCAAATGGTTTTACTAATTTATGCAATGTATATGATGGCTATTTCCCTATGCCTTCACAACACTATTTATTATGTTTGATTTTGCTAATCTACTGGGACAAAAAATTTCCCACCATTTTAATGACACAAGCATTTAATGGGGCATTGCAATAAAAGGTATCAGGAAGGCATTATCATCATGAGTAACAAAAGTATGAATGTGGCTTCAGTAATCTTTTGTCTTTGGTCAAGGACTCAAATCTATGAAACTGAGATTTCATGTTTTGAATACAATGTGTATGGGTGTAAATATGAGTGTACAAACTAATCATCAAAGAAGCAACAAATATTTGCAAAGCATGCTATCAGAATCTGCTTCTTAGATCACATTTAATCTTTCCACAACTTAGTGAGACATGTAATGTTTATTATCACCTCTAATTTACAGGATATATAAGCAGTGATAACTTCATAGTGTGTTCTATAGCTCAGGTAAAGATCTTCCTATGATTACAATCTTCTTACAAGTTGGCTTGGGAAAAAACAGTAGACTAAGCTCTTATTTTGCCTGAGTGTAGGTACTTGATTTTACTAGAGCCTGATTTCCTCTACTGTAAAAGTGTAGAGAATTATGTTCTTTTGGTCACATTCAACTTTCAAAATTCAGTTTAATGCCTCAACTCACATCATCTCTAGTGTAAACAATCAATGGAGTAATTCAGAACCCCTCCACTCTCTTGTGCTCCTATGCTTTAGAATCCCACCATGCAAGTGGTGCCCAAACAAACCAATGGGTACTATAGACCTATGAGCCCAAGCCATGCACAGAAGCTTCCCTACACACAGAAAAAACTACCTGTATACCCTCCAGCACCTTCAAAAAGAACTCCTCCAAAAGTGTCCATTATCTCAGCTCCTAGGTTACTATCTAGTATAGTGGAAAGCACTGAAATCTTTACCTGCTGGTCAGAATGAGCAATGACAAGGTTGTTGGTATTGGGAGCAATGGCCAGAGCAGTCACTGGGAAATTGTAAGCCGGCACCGTGCAGTGAAGCTGGGAACAAATATAAAAACAGACACAGAGAACAACTCTATAGGTTATTTTCCTTCATGAAATAGTAGGTATAGGCCAGTGGTTTTCATTATTATTTTTTTTTTTTTCGTGTTTAGTGCATGTGTATATTTGTAATGGACAATGAAGCCAGGGCCTCATACCTCGTAAGCAAGTGCTCCACAATGAGGAGCTCATAGGTCTGTTGCTTTTAAGTATCACTCCTTGGAACTCAAAGGAGTTCTAAGGAAATTCCCATAAACTTCAGCCATTTCATTATCAATGATCTTTAATATCATTAATGAAAACTGGGCAACTCACTTTCCAGGTCCCTCCTGCCTCTTAGGAGCTATCTCTCCCTTAATAAATCTCCTACTCTTAAAAATCCAAAACAAAGGGCCGGGGATTTGGCTCAGAGGTTCCACTACCTGCCTCACAAGCACAAGGGCCCGAGTTCCATCCCCAGTATAAAAAAAAAAAAAATGAGGCAAGAGGATCCCAAGTTCAAAGTCAGCCTAGGAAATTCAGTGAAACTGTCTCAAAATAAAAAAATTAAAGGGTTAGGGATACAGCTCAGTGGTACAGCATTTGCTCATCATATACAAGCTAGGTTCAATCCCCAGTACAAAGAAAAAAAAAAAAAAAAAAAAAAAAAAAAAAAAAAAAAAAAAAAAAAAAAAAAAAAAGAATCATACTTACAAAACTGAAGTTGCAGAGAAAGAACTCAAGAATAAGATCTTTTCATAGAGTAAATGTGTATTAATTATACATAAATATGTCACTGATCAGGGAACTTACAGTCGAGAGTGTGTTTAAAAGAAATTAATGCCTAGGGATGGATATTTATGTACAACTCCAAAGTATCTGTGTCCTACACAGGAATGTTCTTTTTGAGGCTCAAACTCAGGGCCTTTGGATGCCAGACAAGCACTTTACTTACTGCTGAACATGTAAACACTCTTCTGCCAACCAAGGCCTAGAGACTAATGTTTAGTACATGCTCCTGCCACAATACTAGAAAGACTAAATTATGCAGTAACAGGCAAAACCCAGGAAATGTTGCAGTTTGGTGTCCATAAACATTAATGCTTACTGTAAGTTTTGAGTAGTTACAGTCTTTTATGACAAGGATAAGGACTTATAAAGGATCATTTGTGACTGAATGTATGAATGACAATATTATTATTGAGCAGGGAAAAATACTTTCCCACTACTGTTTCTTTTCCCCCCCAAAATTTATGGCTGTTTAATTTAAAAATAGCTTGAGATTATAAGCCATGAAGGGAACACTGCAATTATCTCAAATTTGCTATTTATACAAGAATTTTCCCTTACGCAAATGCAGAAATAATCTTGATGTGTGTTCAATACCTACAAATCCTTAATTTCAGAATTTCTGTATGAACAGTTTATTGTTGTACTGACTGACTTTAATATTTATATAGATTTTGGGTTCCAGAGAAATAAAACAGGAATCCGAAACAGGAAAATTTATTGATTTAAGTGGTTTTTTTTTTTTTTGGTACTGGGGATCGAACTCAGGTGCTTGAGCTTGCGAGGCAGTCACTAGAAATACTGAGCTAAATCCCGGGCCTGATTTAAGTGTTTTTTAAAAGTCAAATGTATAGATCATTCTCGGCTGCCTTGAATCTTTTTCTTTGTTTTTGTTTTGAGACAGTATCTCCTTAAACAGGCTGGCCTTGAACTTACAGTGAGCCTCCTACCTCGGCCTCCCAAGTGCTGGGATTTCCAGCATGTGCCACCATACCCAGGTCTGGCTGGAATTTTATAAATGCAGGACTAACATCCCCCTGTGTGACTTAGACTGCTGCTATGAGTTCCTATGCTCACCTTTAGATGTTTTACATTGTACACGTGGACTCCAGCACTGTTACCTGACGCAGCTAGCCAATTCCCATCTGGACTGACTGCCAAGAGACACATGGCCTCCACTGTCCCTGTGAGGGCAGAAGAACAGTTCAGTCTCTGAATTCAGTGTCCACAGCCAGTACTGCCCTGAAGAAACCAATGAGACCCACCAAGTTTTGAATCACTGACAGGATAATTTGTTGAGAATTTTGCATACTAGTTCTAAATGTTAACCTTTCCAAAACTAGCCAACCCTGATATAAAGAAGAGCCAGAGAGATAAAACTGAAGGTATCACTTGTACAAGCCTGAATAAGACACTTTTTACACTTGCAACATGAGGGTGACATTCATCACTAAAATCTATATATTTGTTTCAAACTCCTAAATTGTTTTAAGTTGGAGTAAAGTACACACAGCAAGCTCAACAGACTTGAGGTGTATCATTAGTTTATTGTGTGCCTGTTCTCCATTTAGCACTATGGGGCATGCATAGGCCACTTCTGTCATCAAGGAACCTTAAACCAATTTTGTAATGTGAAGATATAAACAAAAAACAGTCACTGGGGCCATATGCCACAGTAGACGCTGCATATAATATCCCCAAACAACGAAAGGGTTTTATAACAAGACATAAAGACATACTACCTGCTAAAGAATGGGTGGGGATGGTAGAAAGTGTGTTAAATGCAAGATAGTCTAAGTTTTGTAATTAAAAACAAATATAGATACTGAATAAATCCAATACATAAGTACTAAACATAGGTTCCTCCTTTTTGAGTACCTACTTAGTTATGTTAGCTTAACTTATCTAACTGCTAAAATGTAGATTTCTTCTGTATGTTTCTGGAGCATCTTATGAAAAGTGACAGTTAAAACTGAAAAATTGCATTTCCAGGGTGGTAGAATTTAATGACAATGAAGCAGGTAAAACAAGGGAGAAGGGAAAGGATGACAGTGTCCAACTAACTGAAGCTGGATGCTAAGTTTAGGTTCTCAATAGTTAACTCCAGAATGCTTAGTACAATAAAACCTTGGTTCACAAACATTTCTGTTTGCAAACAATTCAGTTCCCAAACAAAAGCATTCAGCAAACTTTTGCTTCCATTTGCAAACTCCGCATCAGGTGACAAACATGGCCATGATCATCTCCCCCAAAATCAACAAACAAATTAAGTTTGTAAACCAAGGTATCACTGTAGATACAATCACACTGATACATACACATGTTCTCAAGGAACATGAAAAAATGGTCGTGAACATTAAATGAACATAGGTGAAATCCACATGCATTGGAAAACACTAAAAATATACAAACACACACTGAAAAACACCAAAATTTTAAGGATAGTTACTTCTGGGAAACAGATCAGTTTTTACTCTCCCAACAAACCTGTTAAGAAGGACGACAGAACTTCTCTAGCCCTCACATAAAATACCAAAACCCAGTGAGAAAGAGTTTAGGTGTGAGGAACATTTCAGATCTCACAGAGACAGGGTCTTCATCTGTCAGTACCTCTTCCTACTTTCAGGGGCAAACATGTGAATGAGCATATTTGCAACCAGTATCTGAGAATCTCTGACACTGAAGTCTAAAAGGAAAAAAGTTACATCTCAGGCATCAAACTCCCACCTGACTGAGGCTGGAAAGTATGCAGGTGTTTGAAGCTTCCTTCCAATAGCCGAATAATATGTAGAGACCCCTGATTTGATGCCACAAAGAGCTTTGTTGAATCTTCAGAAAACAAAATCTGAAGGGCAGAGCGAAGAAACGCTGGCATTTTGGAAATCTGTGGGGGAACCAACAGTGAAAGCCAATGAGAGAAGGTACATGTGTAGCCCCAACAAAACCAATCACAGCCTCAATTAACACTTCCCACCTCTGTGCAAACCAAGTGCCCAAGGGCATGGAAACTGGCCTGCCTCCTGTGCCTCTTATCCCCTTTTCATCTTGACAGTAAATACATCATTCTCTACCATGAAAATAAGTTACATACAAAACTATGCAGAAGAGTCTAGACTTTACTGCTACTTTTGGCTTTCCCCACCACTCCCAAAACATAATCAATTAAAATCAAAAATATTTTTGTCATAGCTGTCTCCAAAACTTTTCACTGAACAAGGATTCTCATCCAATTCATTTCCACTCCACATGAAAATCACATCTGAGGGCTGGGAAGTTAGCTCAGTGGTGTCGCGTCTGTCCTGCATGCCCAAGATCCTGAGTTCCATGCCCAGTTAAATAAATAAATAATCACACATTTAGGGAGTTCCTCCTTGTACAAGCACACATTGGGCTACCACTCACCCTCTGGAGGCTTATGTTGTCATGTTCATAATTCAACCGATAGAGAAAAACCCGAGATGCTGTAGAGTAGGCTAACCAGCTTCCACATGGGGAGATAGAGCTGCAAATAATGTTCTCAGGGCCCTGGTAACCATAGGAAGCAAGATGAGTGTGCAAAACTTATGACAAGGTTCACAGTGACATGAATCCTCATGTTCTTGACACTCTGGCTATTTCCACAAATACTTAACACATAAACCTAAAACTTATATGCTGTGTTTCACTGTGATTACAGCTCTGATTTCTAAATCTAAGAATAAAGCTCTATTTAAATTTCCAAATCCAGGCGTAAAGCTATGTAGTCCAGGCTGGTCTTGACCTTGGGATTCCCCTGCCTCCACCTCCCAAGTACCGAGATTACAGGTGCACTAGGCCCAGCAATATATTATTATGTATATAATAACATATATTCTCTCTCTCTCACCACAAAGAGGAAAAAAGATGTGAAAGAAAGGGTATGTAGCTTATCAATTAACAATTTTAAGAGAGAGTAGAATTAGAGTTGGTGAAGAACAAAATATTGTTTTAATTCTTTTTTTTTTAAAGACAGTACTGGGGAACAAACTCAGGACCTTGCACTTCCAAGGCAGATGTGGTGCCACTGAGCTAAATCCCTGGCCCTCTGTTTGAATTCTTCACAGTGAGACTATATTCACAGATGTTTAATTAAAATAAGGACTTTCAATGATGAATGTTAACGGTACTGCATACCTAAAAAGTACCAATAAACTCAATGAAAAAAAAAAAAAAGATCTTTTCTTTTTTTTTTTTTTTTT